GATTTTATGTTTGTATTCATGCCACATTTGAAATCTGTCCTCCATGGAAGTGACATGTCTGACACGCATTCTACAACTGTTTTATTGAGAACCAGAGAGACTTAAAACTCATACTTCTCCCACATACAGAAAACAAAACAAACACTGAAGAAATCAAGCTCAAAAAAGATTACACAGAAATTCTGAAAATCCTTTTTATATCTGCCACCTTGATCACTTAGACACAGTTCCAGTACAAGTGCCTGTAAGGTAAGTTACAGTGCAAGCAACTTTGGGTAAACACCGTACCTGTCATGATGCCCCTGGAACAACTGCAGCACACTATACCAGAGCTGTAATGCAATTTGTAAAATATCCCTCTCCTTTCTTAATTTTAAATTGTTCATTACATTTCCAATTTGTTTTGCTCTTCCTATTTAGATAAAATCAAAATAGCATACATCATCAAGGACTGGGAATAAGTTGCTCAATGTACCATCAATTCTAGCCGGTTCAAAGAAAAGTTTAAAAGATTCAAGCAAATATAACTATTAAAAGAAGATTCACTGACCAAGTATTTCATTACTGTCATTGTAACTACAGAGTGATGTCTTATGCCATTAAAAGAGGTAGAGTACGTACAGGGCAGAGAGAAGAAATGCCAAGAAACAGTTAAGCAAGGCTACATAGGGGATCACATGTGCATCCAGTCTGAAGACAGACACTATTTCTTCTGAATTATTTGTAGAGATTTGGAATGTACTTAAGCCACATGCCCCAGAATGTGCTTTCCCTCAAAACATTTGTGCAGATGGGATGATTAAAGACCATCTTTCTGCACTGGGATATTGTAATGACATAAGTCATACACGATGTTGTTGTCAACAGTAAAGTGACATTAGCAACACCACTCTTTACAGGTGCACTGCATCACAAACAGTTTAAGGCAAAGGTATAATTCAAGCAACTTGATGTAACTATCTTAACTGTTTTTACATCCTCCCTTCAGTTAGTCAGGAGTTCCCAAGATGGACAGGAACAACCACCCTTGGTAATGATCCATATTACTGTGCAAAGCCCTTTTCAGCTGTGCAAACAAGAACTTCCGTCTGAATTTTAACATGTTTTTTAAAGCCTTTTAGTAGAGATACAGTAAAAGCACATTTCCATTCTGTTTGGGCTTGGGCAATCCTGTAGCTCCAATTCACTGGCACAGGCCAGACTCATTCAACCGGGTATGTTGAACCACAAGAAACAAAGAAACTTTTTATTTTTAAGTATGCTTGTGTGCTCTGAAGCATCTGATCATGGTGTGGGATTTTGTCTCACATTGCTACACACACTAAACACCAAAAGATTACTCTTTAATAATACTTCAGTATAGTTTCTTCAAAATGTTGTGACAACCTCCCCAGTAATCAACAGGTATCAAGTACTTACTTTAAGCTCAAAATATGTTTGTGTGCTCCGAAGCATCTGATCATGGTGTGGGATTTTGTCTCACACTGCTACACACACTAAACAAACACCAAAAGACTGTTCTTTAATAATACTTCAGTATAGTTTTTTCAAAATGTTGTGACAACCTTTCCAGTAATCAGCAGGTATCAAGTGCTTACTTTAAGCTCAAAAAAAAAGTCCTAAGTATTTTAAGAGTTATCAGCTCCCTTTGTTTCTTCCTCACTTTCTTAAAGATATACTAGAAATGCAAGACTAATCCAGCCTTAATTTCACATCATTAGTCAATCTTCACATTCTTCAGCTAAGTCTGGTCTTTCTGTAATTCCAAATCATTTGGAAAAACATTTCTCTATTGTCAGTCAGCTGTTGTCAGTCCATTATACAGTCAGTAACTATTGCCACAGAACACGGCTAAAAATCTTCCAAATTCCTATTAACTTGGTAGTGATTAAGCCAGGCATACCCTGATACAGTAAAAGCTCAGCAGGTTAATGAATAACAGCAGCATGTAGCAGAGGAATAATAGAAATCAGGGAAGATGAAAGAAGGAGCACACAAGACTCACACTTAATCTAGTTTTACACTGATAACATAGAAAAACATTTTTCTAATTAGAAGCAACCTGGAGGTTTTTGCCAGAATGTCAGTAAGCTCATTCCACATATCAAGCACCAGTTCACTCAAGCTCACCTGAAAATTGACTCATATGGAAAGTTTCACCCCGACAGACAGAAGTGTTTGGTAGAGTTTGACTCAAAGTTCTGTGAGCTAAACTATGTCTGAGACCAGATACACTGGCTATCACTAAGGCTACCTGGTGGAAGCATTCACTCAAGCTCACCTGAAAATTGACTCATATGGAAAGTCTCACCCCGACAGACAGAAGTGTTTGGTAGAGCTTGACTCAAAGAAGTTCTGTGAACTAAACTATGTCTGAGACCAGATACATCACTATCACTAAGGCTACACTAAGGCTACCTGGTGGAAGTTGCTTACTGTAGAAATTTATATTTAAATAAAACCACTAAAATGAAGGAATCTATTTATAAACTATGAAACTCAAATATATTAATAACATGCAGAGATGAAAAAGCATAAAAGCCTATGGAAAGCAAGTGTACCTGCTGGGAATCTTACTGGGAAGGGAAAGCACAGAGTCCAAGCTCTGGATACTGGCTACAAAGATGAAGGGACTGGACACAGCAGACAGTATTTTCACACATTGGGTATTCTTACCTTTAAGAATGTAGAAATATTTTTTATACCAACAGGCCAACACAAAAATATAGGCCAGCTGAGGGAGCACATGGAAAGGGACAGGGAAACTAGCAACAAAATGGAATAATCAGGGCACAGCCAGTGATACAGACTACCAGGAATTCTCATTCTGCTGCCATATGCTAATCCACTACAGGAGCCCACGATTACCTACATCTATATTCTACACCACACACACAAGATACATTACTTACCTGTGGGTCCATGCTCCAGAGGCTGATGATAAACCAGACAAAAGATTAACACCAGTCGTGGAACCTGCCTTCAGTCTTGCTCTCGCACTTCCCCGTGACACACTATGTAACTTGGCACCAGTAAAGGAACACAAAGAGCAATCAACCACCCAAGCAGGAACCAGATGAATAAGTCCAAATCTACTCTTGAACTGAAAGACAACAAGCTTCACATCTAACCTCCTTACAGACTCTGTGCCTGCATGATCTGAAGTAAAGAAGCCTACGAGTCAGGGGATGATAATCATTGGTACAGTTCAAGAATTAAAGATAACATGAGGAGAAAAAAAGCAGACCTGCAAACCTGCTATCCTTCTTTATTTATTCTGAATTAGTTCCAGGATTTACAAAGATTCTTCTGTTTACTTCTCCCATGAGACATGCAAGTTAATCCATTAAAAACCAAACAAACACAAACATTATGGAACAAACTGGTGACCCATACTAAAAATTCTGGAAACACAGAGCACTAGTCATGGTTTGCAGTTCATTCCAGAACATGACCAGCACTGGAAGAAATAGTAACTATTGCTTCCTTAATTCTTAATCTTCAGTGAACATATACATTTTCTAGCCAGGTGGCCAGCAAAATAAACAAAATAATTTTAAGGAATTAATCAGCTAAATCACTATAAATGAAAGAAAGAAAGGAAAAAAAACAGTGGAAGGAAATAGAAACCTACAAAGCTTTTGCTGTTTATCATCATAACTTTACAACCAAGTGAAGAGCTTCCATCCAACAGGACTGGGCATCTTAATTTTCTTTGGTCATCTCATAAAGCATCTTAATATTTTGGTCAGTTTAGGAGAAGTAGAGGTTGCCACAAAAAGTCATCTTCAGTCTCACAGCTCATGACTGAAGTTCTTGATTAGTACAAAATACAGGTCAGCAGAGGAGGGAGGACATTTATGTTCCCCTCTTCCTTCCTGCAACTATTAAATTTCCACAGTGGAAGTTCCCCTCTTCCTTCCTGCAACTATTAAATTTCCACAGCGGAAGTAACCCAGCACTTGTCAGCCTAGCTGAATTCATGACAATGAAGTTTTTGATGCTAACCTGGGCTAAACCAGACTTCTGTCAGATCCAAACCATACTTCAGTCCTACGCCTGACTGTGACAGTACACGTATTATTCTTGTCTTCCTTCCCTGTCCTCACAGGAATATGAACAAAGATGAAGCGAAATGGAAAGGCGACAAACATGGCTGCAGAGCACACATCACTTGTACACAGGGTCTCTGAAACTCTCTCCAGGGAACCTGTCTCTTCTAGAGCACTAGAAGAGTGTTCTCTTCTAGCACTCTACTGTTATTTTGGACTCCACTTTTATCAGGAAACTTAAGAGAGTTCCAGCTTGGTATGTCACAAACCTGACTGCCCAAAATGCAGGGCCTCATCCAATACCTAATGAAGAGACACTGCCCCTGTACTCTAAGAGTTAAGTCAGGGCAAATCAAAGCACCATAAGCAATCATCACCTGTCAGCTGGTTACAGGAGAGCTTCTGCACACAGAGATATCAGTGGCCACCTGTCACTTTATCAGTGACAATCAAGCCACACGCAACCTAGAAATTGCCATCTAGCCCATTAACTCCGGGTTGTGCAGGATTCCCAGGAGAGCCTTTTACAGAAGTCCACATCTTCCAGTCCAGGTCACGGAAACCTCCGTTTAACCTCAGCCATCCCTTCACCTGACCAGCTCCTAACGTGCTCCACGAGTGGCACAAGGTGTAACCGCGGCACAGAGAGCATCAGCTGCCTGCCCCAAATTCCCTCTGCAGGACTGAGCGCGGCCTTTGGGCAGAGGTCACCTGTGTCCCAGGAGCGCAGCACGCTGCTGCAGGACAGACCCAGAGGGGAGGACGTGTCAGTGCCACCAGCAGCCCTCAGCAGAAGCCCTCCCACAGCAGCCTCCGCACCGGGCAGCACTCCCGGCAGGGACACACACCCAGCACTTTGGGAACAGCTGTCCACCGCACCCAGAGCATCCCCCTCCCGGCACTGCTTCCCTCTCGGGACCAGAGCGGGCGGGAAGGGCGGCCTCTCACCTGGAGGAGCACGGCCAGCAGGACGCACAGGTACACCTGGTAGGGGCCCATCTGCCCCACCAGCGGGAACGCCTCCTCCACCTCCATCCCGCTCCGCGGCCGCCGAGCAGCGCATTCCCGGGGCGGGGCGGGGCGCGGAGCGGCGGCTGGGCCCTCGCGGAGCTGGAGCAGAAGAACGGGGAGGAGGAGGGAAAGGAGGGAAGGGCGGGAGGCGCGATGCGGTGCTCATGCGCAGGCTCCGGGGAGAGCAGCAGGGATGCGGCCGCCTCCCTCCTTCCCGGGCGCCCGGCGGGGAAGCGGAAACGCGCGCGGGCTCAGCGCAGGCGCGCGGGCCGGGATTGCGTGGCTGGGGCCGGGGCGTGAGGGGCGGCGGGAGCGCCGTGAGGGGCCTCGGGCCGGGGCTCTCACCGTACTGCGGGGATGTGCCTCCTGCAGTCACACCTAGCCTCTTGGGAACGGGAAAGGGCACAGAGGTGTTGCCTCTGCACCCTTGGTTAGACCAGGGCAGTACGCTGGTCCTGCGGGCTGGGCGAGAAGGCTGCACTGGTTCCGTGCTGGCGAGGTGTTCCCGGTTTTGTGGCGTTGTCCATGCTGGGCTCCCGCCGTCCAGTCTCATCCAGCAAGGCACAGCGGAGTCACAGTGTGCGCTCAGCGGGTTTGCCCCGTGGGAAGCTGTACCCACAGAGTACCCTCAGAGCTGCTTAGCTTCTGTCAGTTCACAGCGCACCCCAACATGCTGCCACATCTCAGCTGTGGAATATTCTGTAATGATACTTCATAGCCTACCTGCCGATAGTTGGGAAAAAAAAAAAAAAAAAAAAAAACAACAACCAAAAAACGGATCGAACATAGGGCTATTGGTAGGTGCCACTAGAGGTCAGTTCTGCACCCACACAAGTCTTACTGTTCTTGATTTAATGCCTGGCAAGGACATTCCTCTCTCCATTACACCACTTTCCACAAAACTGTAGTTGCAATGTATTTTCTGAAAATAGTTTTGAGAGCCTTCATTGTGAACATGGGGTAGAACTTTACGCTTAGAAGTAAAGGGACTGGTTTGTGAAGGAGCATGAACTCTACTGTGTAGAGAAGGGAAGAGAGATAAATGCAAGTGAAATAGGCATCTTGCAAAATGGCAATGATCTTTTCATGGTCCATTTTCATTACACCTTTACAATAAAGCTCCAGGAACACGAGACAACTTACATTGTTGAGACGTTTTTTATCTAGTGGTACTGAGAAGCAGCAGCAACATCTTTATGCTTGTAGCTTTTATTGTATGAACAATGGAAAGGAAGAGAGTTGTCATGAGCTGTGACCTTTAGGACCATGCCAGGAGCCTGGGAAATAATACCATTTGTGTGCTGAAAAAATCTTGGCAAATCGACAATCATCAAAGCAATTTACTCTTAAAATGAAATTCACCTTTGCCCTAAGCACTTCTTTTCATATTTGAGGCTTAGTACAGATTGATTAAAGGCAAAACAGCAAAGGATTTCTGAAATGTCAGGACCTTTTTGCTGTTCACCCATCTGCACTTGTCTCATTTTATTGCTCAGCTAAGATGCGGAGGACATGTCCTTGTGTTTGGGAGCTCTGCACTCATGTCCCCTGCACCCTTCCCACTCTCGCCAGCTCAGCCACACTTTGTGGCAACCACAGCTTTCTTCCAGCTTGCCCAGTAACAGGGAGCTTTAGCGTCAACACCCAGCTCCTCCCTGACTCTTGAGCCAAGGTGAACAGACCCTAGGGAAGGAGATGGTACGTGTCTCCTGGTGAGGATTGTGCTGTCCCCCAAATTGTTATGTGCACCCTGCATTCCCCAGGCACTTCTCACTCTGTCTCACTTGGGACCTCCAGCGCTCCTGCCTGAGTGTTTTCCTCCCTATGCTCCCTGCTTGCTTACAGCCACCACAAGCTCCAGGCTCTGTCTGCTATAGGGGCAGCAACTAAGAACTGTCAGCTTTCTCTGTTCACCTCCATGGCGTGCTGCCTTCCAGATGATGCTTCTGCTCTGCTCCTACCACACCTCTGCTGAGATAACATCTCTGACTCCCACAGCCTCCAGTCCTGACCATAGTGAAGTTTCAGCCTTGGCCTTACAGGTATCAACACCATGCAACAATGCCCCGTGCCTGGGAAAAACAGCTGTCAGGGAGCTGTCTCCTCTTGTGCTGCTGCTTCCCAAACTGAGTCCAACAAAGAGCCATGAGGGTGATTAAGGGACTGGAGCATCTGTCATGAGAGGAAAAGCTAAGAGCTGGGACTGTCTAGCCTGAAGCCAAGAAGGCTCAGAGAAGAATTTCACAATGTGTGTAAATAACCTGATGGAAAGGAATGAAGAGAAGGAGCCCAGGCTCTTCTCAGTGCTGGCTTCCAACAGGACAAGAGGCAATGGGGACAAGTTAAAAAAAACTCACTGGCAATGAAAGGCCACTGTCCCATGAGGCCAGTGGTTTTGGAGAGGATTGGATGCAATGTTTAGACGTTTCAGCCAAAAATAGTACTGCACTCCACTCCCAATGATCTGTTCTTGCTGGAGCCCCAGGATTGGATGCAATGTTTAGACGTTTCAGCCAAAAATAGTACTGCACTCCACTTAGCCAATGATCTGTTCTTGCTGGAGCCCTCAGATCTTCCCAGAGAATTATTGTCTGTGAAGTTCATTAATGTATAATTTGCTCCTTCCTCCTCCTCATTAATAACCATAACAAATAAGAATACTCTTAATAATCCTGTCTGAGGGGAATTTTTCTTTTAATGAGAGCAAATCAGGCTTCTTACTCAGCCATAAATGTGGTGCCCTGTAGGTTTTTCCACATTGCTCCCAACCCTCTCTCTGTTACTGCTGTTTCGTGGGATTGTTGCCATTAGAGGCTTACACATCAAATTCGCCTCGGCAACCCAAAACTGAGACAGCTGCATGGCTTCTTTTTCAGCCTTTCTGAAATAATTGTTCCAGATACATTCTGCCCTTTTCTGTCTCTATGTAATGATGACCCAGAGCATTCAAAGTACTAGATATATGTAAATGCAAAGGGATAACCCTAAGCTAATGTTCCCCTCTGGGAAACAAACAAACAAACAAAAATTAAAAAAAAAAGAAAAAGAAAAAAAAAGTGAAATTTGATATCTTGAAGTTTTAGAGCTAAAACCCCATTCTGATTCACTGATGTTGCCAGATTTGCTATATTCATTTGTAATAGATTATGATAATGACCAGTAATTTTTCTTTGGAAACACAAGCAATAGTAATTTTAAAAAAGACCTTAAAAGAACTTCTGATGTTCCTACCTTCTGGCTGGGGATTGCTTACCCATTCAAAGGTGTCCACACAAATTGTTCATGCAGCAGTTGGCACAAATGAGATCAAAAGAAGTTCTTTTCCTGATGGAGGAAGTTTCACGTCATCCATGAGTGGATAGTGTGAGTTAGATATGAAACTCTGTAGTCAAGCTGCTGTAGATGACAGAAGATAAATGGGTTTGAGTGAAGGATCAACAAGTACTAAACAGGACAAAATTCCTCTGAGGTTTATCTAATAACAGAAACACCTCTGACTCTGAAAAGTCCCCAGGAGACAAATTGTTCAAAGCTGGTATCTGAAGGAAATATTTACCTTCTCTTGTGATACTCCTGTGCAGCATTAGCTTTTACCCACAGCAGGAGATGGCATTTGGGCCAGAAAGGACATTTGCAGTCCTGTTGCCACTTTTGTGATCTTGCACTTCATCAGGTTCCCATCTCCTCATGGCCTCCACCCCCCCACCTCACAGGAGGTTTCCACCCCATCAGCTGTGCTGAATGGTGGACACTGAATGGCAAAAGACTGAGGTCTGACTGCGACAGTGAGAATGGCAGCTGTGGGAATAGTGGTGGAAATCTCTTCCACAAGAATATAAAAGGGTTGTGCTTCATAAAACCTGTTACTATTAAACAAGTCCAGGGCTAAGAGGGGGTCCCTCCTCTAGAGTGAAAATAAAGCAGAGGTTCTCCTGATCTCTTAACTTCATCTGGTCCACAGCACAATGACAGGAGCAGTCAGAGGGCTGACAGTATCTGCCAGAATGCTTGCCTTTGCTGGCCCCTTGTTACAGAAAATGAAGATTTTTTTCCAACCAGACTAATCAGCTGCTCGTTGCAGCTGGCTTACCCCATAATACTATGCAAAACTAGCATATGGCTCATTACAATATACCCCGACTAAGTGTGCAGCCAAACAATCCACCAAGGCATTTTTGCTTCTCTGATGTGTTGTTTGCACTTTTTGCAAACAAAGCAACAAACAATTCCTTTGGAGGCACTTTTCAATTTTAGATGAGGCTTGGGGATACTGAATTTCTTTCTGAACTGTGAATGATGTTAAAAGCTGATTCCCTGTCCCTTCCTAGATGGACAGTTGTCTGTTGCAAAACGGATCCAGTTCAGGTTCCTGAGAAATCTGAGCTCGCTCACATATCATGTATCTCTTGCAGTGGATAGTTGTTCTCAGGATGTCTCCCCTGGTCACACCCCAAAGTGCACATCTGTGGCCAACACCTTCTTGGCCAGCAGCCTCTGTAACCCTCTCACTCCTGCTCAGTTTCCCATCACTTAGACATTGCCCACAGTGTCCATCCTGGGGTGAGAGCTCTGCTTTCATCACAAAAGGGATTTCATGTTTGGCAGGGGTTTCAGGTTGAGCAAAGGAGTTTATGAAGCACACCTCTGTGCTTAAACATAGTATAATCTTAGACTTTAAAAAAATTTAAAAAATAAATAACCGGGTAGTCTTAAGGAGCAGGATTTGCCTCTGTGGCCTCCCAGCACTGACTGGGACAGAGATAACAATGCTGAACATAAAGGTGAATGCTTGTACTGCTAAATGGCTCTCTTGAACAGTTGAGCCACACTGCCTTTGAGAGAACCCTTGTGTTCTCTGTAGGTTCTTTTCTTTCCAAGGAGTCATCATTTGGCTGCAGTACTGCTCATAATCTTGACATTTACGCCATTCATCCTCTGCCATATCACCAGCATGCAAAAGACTTGTTTGGACCATGCCTCGCTCTGGAGACTGATGAAGATCCCACAGAAGTAAGCAGAAGCACTTACAGGTGGTTTGTCTGGCAGAGGCAGCAGCGCTCTGGATTTGGAGGCAGAGAAGGCATTCGGCAAGTGATAGCTTTTTCACAATTCCCTCAAAATGCAAAAAGTAAGGATAACCTCATAGATTTCAGCAGCTATTTCTATCCCAGGTGTGCCATGTAGTGCAGTACTG